GGAGCGTGGGTAGAAAGTCCCGACGCGTTTTCTTTCTGGATTTACGACCTTTCGAGTGCGTGTGGCAAGCCGGAGTCGATGGATAGTTGAAGGGGAATCGGATTTTAATTGCTTTGTTTAAAATGGCATAAAACACTTTCCCGGCTCACAGGTAGGTTGAGAACTTTACGACTTTTTAATATTTATGCGCACTCATTGTTGTGACAGTGTTTTTGTTGTATTTTCACGCAGCGATTACGGCCGATTACCACAAGCCGGAGTTGAAGTCAAAGTATGAAGTTTTCTCGATTGATTGCTGTGTGATTGGATTTAATGAGAGTGTGCGTGTATGTGTGCAAATATACTTATGATTCCTGGTCTGGGCTGCTGCCGTGAGTTTTACGCGCGCTTCGTGCTCACTATTAACCGCACTCGAATGCCCGTAGTAAGCGGCAACAGTTTAACACAATAAGAATGCCACAAAATAATAAACAGAGCGATTGCAATGCGAATGTAAACGCGGGGCGAATCGAATCGAGACGAATCGAATCGGAACAGATCGGATCGGATCGTATCGGAGATCGGCCAAGTCAAGCTGAGCTGAGCTGAGTTGAGTTGAGCTGCGAGCGCTGTTCCGCAGACACTACTGCGCGCCACGATAATAAATATTATAATAAAACGAAATTTTTAAAAGAGTATAAAAATTTCGTGTAATTGGTAATTTTTGCTGCCAGCGCTGGCAGAGGCGCGAGCAGCGCAGCAGTTGGCGACTGCGGCGATAGTGGAGACTTGGGTTTGAGTTTGTCTGTCTGCCTGGCTGCCTGGCTGCTTGGCTGCTTGGCTGCGGCTGTGGCTGTCGACGTTTGACTGGGGCTTTGCTGCGTCCGTGTCGTTGGATCGCTGTCTCGGTTTCGTTGCCGGGCACGGGTAGACGAGTAGTCGAGTAGTCGAGTAGCCGAGTAGACGGGCGACGGGTAAGGTTGCGGGCACAAGTGGGTGCGGGTCTTTGCTGCTGGCGCTGTGTCCGCGTCGGCCGTTGTGGCGTTACGAGCAGCGAAACGTTTATGGCGCAATACAAAAGCCATGCGAGGCTGAGGCCGCAGCTTTGGCCACGCAGAGGCAGTGTCGCCGTCGCCCAGTCAGCAGCAATTCATTTCAAGCGCTGCGCTTAGACTCGCACACACACACACACACACACTCAAACACAGGCACACACACACGCACACTTATGCAGGCGCGCATTTACACGCAAATATGCAGTCAATAGTCTCATGTCTCTGCCGACGCCAACGGCACTGCGCGCTGGCAATAAGAAATACAGACTTCATATCTGTTTGTCTCGCTCGCTCTCAGCGAATCGCAATAAACGGCAATAGCAACAGCAACAGCAGCGGCAGCAATAGCGACGGCAGCGCCAGCAGCAGCAGCAGCAGCAGCAGTTGCTCTTCTTTGTCGTGTATACGCTCGCTGTATGTGTGCGTGTACGTGATGTGTGTGTGTGTGTGCGTGCGCTGAGGCATGATGGCCGTTCGTTCGGTTTGAGTCGGAGCGGAGGCAGCCGATTGAGTGAAAGAGCGAGTTTGAGTGATATTTCTGAGTTGTTTCGTGTGGAATTTTCTTATACGATTTCTGGTTTTTTAGTGCGCAGCCAATGGATGCTTAATTTTGATGTTTATAACGTGAGAATGCGAATGCGTATGCGCTGAGCGCCCACATCAGCCAGACACACACACACATACACATGCACTCAGAGCAATAGCAATTGCTACAACAACAACAAATGATGAGCAAAACTATCGCTTGGAGTGCAAGTGCTTAAGCTCAACCCTGGAGAGTGTGCGTGAGGGAGAGAGAGAGAGAGAGAGAACGAGTGAAACGCCTTCTTAAGTGTTTTATGCTTTGTTTGGCAAAATGTTATTGTTGCTTAAATTATTTTGTATTATTCAGGTTGTTTATACCTACAATTATTTGTTGGCTTGCCTCTTGTGTGCGGTGCGCCACATGCGACAAAAGCGCGCCAAAAAGTGTCTTTGAGACATTTAGACAGGCTTTGTCGACGGAAGGTTTAGTGATTTAACTACAACAGATAAAGAGAGAGAGCGTGATTTACATGTACACAAATTAAACTTATGCTGTGCCTGGTATTTTAATATAAATTAGTTCAAATTTTAGACACTACAAATTTTTATAGCAATCTTTTATTATGCTCATAAAAAATCGAATGCCCCTAAGACTCTCTCTTTCCCTCTCTTTCTATCATCGTCTGTAGCTATCTTTCTCTAGTGCTCTCTCTCGCTTATCCTATAGCTCATGATGGAGAGTGTGTGCGTGTGCGGTTTTTACCCTTAAGCGAATATTTGAAAAAATCCATAAATTCGAGTCAAAGTCTGTTTTCATTTTGTTTTGTAGTTGTTATCGTGTTATTACTGTATTCTGTATTCTGTATTCAGCCATTGTTATGACATTTTTATGAAAAACTTCAAATTTACGATCGGACAAGAGAATATAATTTTTGTTGTTGTTGCTTGTTTCTTTTTTTTTTTTTTTTTTGGCACTTTTGCGGAAATGTAACGAATTCGCAATTTATGAACTTGGCCACTTGCTCGATGTTTCGTATTTTCTATAATCGCAGTTCGCAGCCCGAAGAGAAAGACGGACGGGCAGAGAGACGGATATCACAAAAAGTGAAGTCGAAGAAGAAGAAAGCAAAATATCCTAATTAAAAGTCAATCTAGTCTTTACTTAATCTATTTTCGGAAATTTAAAAATTTGAATGTCCATATCTGATACCGTATTATATTATGCGAGCTGTCAAGAGAATGCTTTAACTATTTCCAAATAAATACGAATATACCATAAAATGGAAATGATGAACAAATATTTCCACAACAATAGAGCTCTTTCTGTATTTACCATTTATAATCAATGGAACTTGATAGCCAAAGAATTGATGCATTTTATTATGATAAGACACTTCTATTTTTATACATATTTATTAATCAGTGCTGATAATTGAGCCTTGCCCCTGTTCTGAAATTCCATAAACTTTTAGCTTGCTTGAGTATTCGTCGAAAGCACTTTAATATTATAATTTTGTTGCCAGAATTATAAACCTGTGTAACCGTTATGTGTGACATCTATAGTAATGCCTCGGATCAAGGGGACGACCTGATATATGAGGCAAAAGCCTATAATGTTAACTAATTTTAATAAATAATAAAGATATTTTCATATATTTTACGTTTGTCTTTTTGTTTTTATTAGTTATCATCTGTGCCACAATTTTATAACAATTTTATAAATAATGCAATATGTTAAAATAATATAAACAACCGCAAATTAACGAGATATATAACACAAAAAGGTACTAGACGTAATATTATAAAATTATATTGTCAGGAGGTAATATTTACTAAATTTATTATTAATATTTAATCTCACAAGAATTATACAATGTGTATGTATAGAATGTAATTTGATATTTCCATCAAAAAAATTATATTAAAATTATATAAGTAATATTCATTTTCTATATTTTACGTCGTCAAGAGAAAGATCATTCTGAGATTCTTTTGGTGTAATTGGGGGATTCAATTACATTAATTAGGGACGGCAATACATAAATCTCGTAGAAGATTGTTTTGAGCTGATTCCAAGACATGCAATGAATTAGCTCTTTGACTCTTTATGAATCGAGTTCCCACCTAGTTGAGAAGTATTAATTAGGGTTTATTGTAAATACGTATAATTGCCAAACACTTTATTGAATTAAGAAATCAGATTTTATTGCAAACTGTTTTTTATTTTTATTTGTTTTTTGTGTTGGCGGCAACAGTTAAATAATTGATCAATCCTTTAGCAATATTCCATGCACTTAACGCCCTGCCAAATTACGTTTTTATGGCTGCCCAGCCAGTTGAATCTGCTGGGGGTCTATACTCAATGCTGTATACTCTATACTCTATGCTCAACAGTTTATAGTTGGCAGTGCTTAAAATTAATTGCTTTATTGGTCATACAAGTCAGTCAGAAGTCGCGCTGCTGCTGCGGGCTCGAATGAGTGCGAGTGAGTGCGGATGAGTGCGAGTGTCGGTTCGGGCTCTATTTTGAGTGGCATTTTGAGTGCAGTGGATTGGTCCGGCATGCCGTGATTTACGGCACCTGCATGAAGCACCGGAACGTGAATGGATCAGCGAGGGCATGGTGAGCAGGGCGAGGGCGAGGGCGAGGGCGAGAGCGAGGGGCGGCCAACGACCGGAAAATGCAAACCGGCAATTTTGATAATCAAAACAAATAATAAAACAACTTCACACGTTATTGCTAAATAACTGGGCATGAAAACAACAACAAAGAGCARGAGGGACACACACACACGCACTCACACATGTGTATGTAAACTACTCGAGTGTGATATAAAATGAACAACAACAATGCGAGCGGCGAGCGGCGAGCGGCGAGTGGCGGCGCTCGCGCTTCCCATTAAAAGATAATAACCGTAATAAACTAATAAAATTGAAACTGGGTGAGAGAGCACAGCAGCAAATAATAATAAAAAATGAACGAAATCACAATAAAACACTATTCGACGCCTCGACTGGGCCAGAGGCGGCGGCTCACGGCGCATTTTACTAGGATCGTAAACCCCCTTAGGCAAAGTGGAGCAATGTCGTTTGCCTAGTCGGGGATCTGACGATTGTGAATGAATTTCCTTACTTTTAGGGTCTAGAGGACATAACCTCTAACAGATCAGGGTACTTTTATCCATTGAAATACATTTATCTTACAAGATGTCGGAGAGGAAAGGAATGATTGCAAGAGAATGAATAATAGAATGATTTTAAGGGATTTATGGGATTTATGGGATTTATCCATGGACATACATAAATGTATATGTTATACGTATTTGATATATATAACTTATATATTATTGATGAACCAAAAGTATAATTTGAGTTGTATGAAAATACTTTTAATATGCTGGACATTCTGAAATATTGTTCCCATTGTTATATTTCATATTGAGTTCTTTCTGAGTCGGAATCTAACGATGGTATTAGCAGTAAAAGTCTCTCAATCTTTCGTAGTATAAGCAATCAGCCAAATAGAAGCCATAAATGAGCTAAGTGCCGTCGAGCCACCAAAAACTGTGTTCGATTGAGTGAGAATGCGGCAAAGTCGAGTGTTGAGTGTTGAGGGTTGAGGGGCAGGCACTCGCAATCTATTGAGTGAAATGCTGCTCAAGTTAGACTCGACGGCAGCTGAAGCACTCGGAGTCACAGTTGTAAAAAGAAGAACGCGCTGCTGTTGCTGATGCACATGAAATTTATTCCTTAATTTGATACATTTTTATTGCGGCGGTTTATGGCTTGTTTTGGCCCTTGCGGTTCGCCCGAGCCCAAATACGGATCGCTTCACGGCTTCACGGCGGGTCTGAACTCCGACATCGAGTCAGCGGTGGCGGCGATGAATGTGTTTTTAAGTGAATCAGATGACGATTATAAAATGCTTTGTCACGCAGTCATTTTTTAATCCTTCGACGCTGTCGCCCATAGCCGTGTTTTATGACTCCAGTTCCAGTTCCTGGTCCGCTCCCCTCCGCGTAGTTAACATACAGAGCAGGCGAGAGGGCAGCCCCCGCCAGAAATGTGGGTTTATGGGCCAGCCCTCAGCCTTCATGCAGCACTCGACTCGGCTCGACTCGACTCGCCTCGGCGGTGCATTCCCCAGAACGACTTAATAAAAATTATACGAGAGCCAGCCAAGTGGCAGAACGTCTTGTTCTCTCCGTCGTCCGTCCGCGTCCACGTTTACTGCAGTTTAATTGCACCAATGATGTACCGCTTTGTAAATTGCGCAAATGAAAAATATAAATCACAAATCTAATTAAAAGCTGAGCAAAACACTCGTTAAACCGGGGAGCATCTCCGGTGCGAGTCCCGGCATTCCCACTTACCGCAGACGGAGCTTAAATACATCCAATAATCATGTGTGCCTGTAAATAGAACACATTATAAAATATATATTAGGAATATTTGAATAATTTTCATTTGTTCTATTTGCACTTTACGACTGTAATTATGCATTTCAGCAATTATTCTATGAACACGTTTTACTTTGTCGCTGACAGGCGAAAACGATAATTAAAAATTAAGAGACCATTCGCTAATTATTTGTGCTCCTATATGCCCGCAATATTTTATTTACTGTAATATATTGTTATTCATGACCTAATGGAACAATCAGCAAAACTTCCTGCTTATATGCATGCCCAGCCAGAAATGTCAGTTAAATGAACTTGAATATTAGCCAAGCGATTTTCACTTAAGTGAACTATTCACTATTATCTAAGCGATAGGAGTACTTTCTGTACTCCGAATCTCAGAAGGAGTTGGTAGCTCTCATACGGGCTATCCTCTTATCATTTGCTTTTGAAATCAGCGAAGGAATAGGAATAATCTGCTTACTCATAAGGAACATTTGTAATTTCTTGGCAGAGCTACCTGAGAGGCCGGTGTGCCTAACACGTTAGTCTATATGAAAATATTTCAAATATTTGGAATCCAAATTTAACGAATAATCTTACAGACCTTCCTATGTCTTATTATACTTATTCTTATCTATTAGGGACAACCCCTCAAGTTATTCACGCTGACGCTAGTCAATATCAACTCTTTCACAACAATTTTGTCACATTAAGATAGAAAAAATATATATTTGAAATTTCTGACGGCAATCATATAATTAAGTCAGAAGAGGCTACGTGCGAGGTTGACTTATGGACGAACAGCAAGACAGACATTGGACATGGTTAAAATAATATTTTCGTATCGCTTACAAGTTATAAGAATATGAAGAGGCTTAAAAATCTCATATATCATGCAACGTCTCAGAGAGAATACATTAATACATTAACATTGACGTCAAGTTGGGCATTGGAATTTAGCAGGATTATATACATAGTTAAACTGAGTAATATAATTTTTGTCGAATATATATAAAATAGATTTGATATAATATGAATACGGGTTTGTCATTAGCTGCCCAAGACATTGAATAATGTATTAATTGCTCTTTATATTTACTAACTCTGAATTGAGACTCTATATAGTCCATAAATTATAAATAATTTGTCTTTTACAGCGTACTTTGCTGATTGTCTGATTCAACTAGCGTCGAGTTTGTAAAAGTTATTCAATATTTTTCGCTGGAGACTCGCCCCTCGGAGAGCTTGTTTTAGCTCCAACATAAACATCGTTTGGGCAGCGTGGTGACGGAGCGTGTTTTATATGCCTCGACAAGACATTAAAATGCGCACACGCCCCCTTTAGCGTGTGAATGTAACGAAGTGGACTGGAATTCGGGGGGCTAGAGGCGGCTGCCAGCGCGGTACCTGAAGCGGGTTTTTCAGCTTTCCTTTGCCTGCGGTTGGGAAAGCGAATTTCAGCAAAGTGCATGGCGAGCAAAGTCAGGCGAAGCTGCTGGGCCGCAGATGCTCGCCGGCTGCCTCGAGGCATAGTCGATGATGATGGGCTGGCTGCGAAAGGAGATTTCAATATCATAAAAAACCGTATTAAGAGAATCTCATATTGAGAATCGTAAAGTTTTTACGAGCGTTTAATGGACTCTTGCAGTAAGCGTGAGTATTTACGCGCTGCTTAAAAGCGGTAAAATATGGCCAAGTGGTGTCGGGAGACAAACACGGCCCTCTAATACTCCAGCCGACAGCCAACACGTTTCCTGCTCTGCCAAGGGGCAGCCGCCCGAGTTGGACTGCGATCCGAATAAGTGCACCGGAGACAATTTATAAATAATAATGTCAATTCGTACATTGTTCAGCCTCGTCCCTTGAGCATTGGCGGCGACTGCATCGCCATCTGGCGGCGATGTGCCGTACCACAGGTAGCCAGCCATTTGATTGCCTGCAGTCGGTCAAGCAGTGCCCGCAAGCAGTGCAAATGCGTCCTTGCTATCATCTAATGCAGAGTGCGCAGTCAGCGAAGGTGTTTACCGTTTGCCGTTGCAGTGAAATTGATTTTGGCAATGGATAAGCGAGACAGCAATAAACAGCTAAAAGGCCGTGGCTGCGCCTGTGGGAGGGTCTATGGCTGCATTGCTGATTGGTGCATGAGCCGAGCTACCTGCGCTCCTTAATCTCTATCGCAAGGCGCAATGCATCTGAACATAATTTGCACAAATATCCTTGACCCACGCAAAAATGGGCGGACTTTATTGTTGTTGCATTATTATATTCTTTTTAAACGAATGGGTAAATGCTTTCCCAAAGATGCATTTAAGTCAAAGGAAGCATATCCTAATTTATTATTTTATAACTAATACTTAGTAGAATCAAACGGCGGGTAAGCACTGTCAGCGTATCTGTCGGCATGACCTGAATTATAGACTTTCGATAAGTATAATTGTATACATAGCTTGTATTTATCATATTTCTCATATTCAAACTAATTTGTATCTATAAGACAGTAGTATGTCTATTATCTAACTTGTTTTTAGGCATTCTCGCATATGGTACTGCGTTCAGAATATCGAATATTTAAAGAACTCGCTTGGACTGTCAACATTTTTGAACAGCCTATAGTTTATAAGAATACTTAAGGATATAACAAAATATATAATTTACTAAAGCTCTACAGATCTCCAAATTCGGTGCCCCGAGCAAAATTATATATTTTTATGGCATCTGCCACGCCTGTACCTTGAATGACTACCTTCAATGACTTCAGCGTATAACAATAATTGAATTTGAGTGCTGGGTGAGTTGAATCTAAGTAAACATGGACGGATCCCATTCTTAATTTAATCATTTTTTGATTTTTTCTGTCATACAATTTGTACAATATTAAAAGTATGGCATTTAATGTTTGATCATTTTTATAGCATACTCTTTAGAAATTAATTATCATTCATACCAGGGAATCTTTGACTCCCGTAAGAAACGAAAAGACTTCAAATTATTAAATAATCTTATCGAAACCTTCCTTATTTTCAAATGTTTTATAGACATTTTAGTATAGAAAGACATTGAACGTAAGCTTTAAAGTTAACTTAATTAATTATAAATAAATAAATTCGCTTACTACTACCATTTCGAAACAAACGCTAGAGTTCTTCTCTATATACTGGGAGGGACTGTGCTAAATGCGAAGACGAAGGAAAAGCGTGAGTGTCTGCCTGACTTGAGGTAAGAGAGAAATAGCTGCTGGCAGCTAGTTGGCTCAAGACAGTGAAATGGGAAGTGAAACGAGTATATTAGCTTTGTAATACAATATATTCTTGAGTTAAATGACATTTGAAGAAACACAGAGACGAGTCCAAGTCGTAAGAATTCAAGTTCAATTGCTGATCGGTCAAAAGAGAGTGAGCTGCATGGGTAAATACTCCATTTGCTGTTGACAAGCAATTGTACATAATAAATTGTGCATATATAAATTGGTAAGTGCAGGAATGGGTGCTTCAATGGTTGTTTACCTGGAAATCGAGCTATAATGATAATGATTGCTCCTTATAATTTAGCTACAGACTTTGGCATCGACTACCGTGCCGTGCTTCGCTTTGGTACACATTTGGCCCTTGCTCAATTAACACCTTGGCCATTTGGTATTCCGCAGTAGGCGCGCAATGGGCATAGACGTAGAGCCATTATGGGCACTTGGACGCACTTCTCATTGGATGCAATTCGTAGGGAGAGTCACGTAGAACGACAGTTTTCAATCCGGACAAATGGCATATGTCTGGTGACAACGACCTGACGGCTTCATTAGACGCGGACATATATCAGAAATGTGTCGGACTAACGACTCGGCAGAGTTATGTGAGTTGTCAAAAGGATTTCCTATAATTTGAATGCTTCCCAATGTCGTGTTCTCGGTTAAATCGCCGTCTCGAGATGACTTTGTAGACGTGCCTTTGAAATGTGTTGGGCTTGGCGACCCCGGGGCCCCTTGCCCGGCATCTGCTGCCTGCCCGTGGGCAAATAAATCAAAGTCGGAGTCAAGTGAAGACGGCACCAGCAGCTCGTAAAACAAATTTCGCCGATTCGACGAATGTTTGTTAATTATGGTTTTGCGTAACATTCTTATTGCCAATGCACATCCATTCTCTGGCCCGCCACTGGCCCGGCCACAGCCCAGCCACAGGCCCAGCCACTCGTGAGTAATTTGTGTTTGAACTCGTTAAACTGTCGAACGATAATGGGCGAATGCGCAGATACTTGTTGCCCCATATGCAGCGGCACGACCACGTGCCTGCTTCCCGGCTCCGCTTTCACTGCCCCTTCCCCTGCCCCTGCCCCTGCCTCTGCCCCTGCCGCGAGTCGAGTTGGGCGCATCTTCTGAAATGGCACGTCCGGCCGAGAGCTCCAATCGTTCGAATGCAATTTGCAACAATTTAAGATTTCTGTTGCCGTAGCGCCCCATTGAAGCCAAACGCCAGCTCGCATTGCCCAACAGAAGCACACATCGAATCCGCTTCGCACAAATTCCTGCGTTGCACGCTGGAAAGCTGAAAATGCTGCCAGCATCGCAATAGATGGGTTCACAGCCCCACGTCTATGGCGCAGAACACTCGTCTGGCGTCAGCCATATAGTCTTTCCGCCCATCCAAGGGAATGTGGGGAATAGAATAGGGCCGGGATGGTCAGGGTTCGACAGGGCTGGCCTGGGGTTGCCTGTAGAACGATATGGGCTCACGCCGGCGCTTAAATCGAGGTATCCAGTTCGGATGGGTCAGACCTATTCGAAATGGGCCGTTCCTCTATATACATATATGCACATTGTTGGCGCGTGCGAGCGCTACATGAGATATTTCCGTGGCTTCGAATGGAACCAATTATATTTTTGAGCGAAGGAATGCCATCGAATAGAAATTATATCTCCTTGAGCATATAAATCCGTTATAAATCTGCTTATGTGTATAGACTTAGTTGAGCAAATCCAAAAATATAATATATATAAAACTTCAAAAGCTTCAAGCTGC